GGGACCGTGGGTATATTGGTTTGGACGTGTCCAGAGGAGGGACAGTGGGTATATTGGTGTGGACGTGTCCAGAAGAGGGATGGTGGGTATATTGGTTTGGACTTGTCTGGATGAGGGAGGGTGGGTGTATTGGTGTGGAAGTGTCCAGAGGAGGGACGATAAGTATATTGGTGTGGACGTGTCCAGAGGGGGGACAGTGGGTGTATTAGTGAGGACGTGTCCAGAGGAGGGACAGTGGGTGTATTGGTGTGGACGTGTCCAGAGGAGGGACGATAAGTATATTGGTGTGGACGTGTCCAGAGGGGGGACAGTGGGTGTATTAGTGAGGACGTGTCCAGAGGAGGGACAGTGGGTGTATTGGTGTGGACGTGTCCAGAAGAGGAACGGTGTGTATATTGGTGTATACCTGTCCAAATTAGGTACGGTGGGTATATTGATTTGGACGTGTCCAGAAGAGGGACGGTGGGTATTCTGGATTGGACTTGTCCAGAGGAGGGACCRTGGTGTGGCTGTGTCCAGARGAGGGAAGATGGGTGTATTGTTGTGGATGTGTCCAGAGGAGGGACGGTGGATATACTGGTTTGGACCTGTCCAGTGGAGGGAAGGTTGGTATATTGGTTTGGGCATGTCCAGAGGAGGGGCATTGGGTATATTGGTTTGGACGTTTCCAGAAGATGGACAGTGGTTATATTGGGTTGGATTGTGGACKTGTCCAGATGAGGGACGGTGGGTATATTTGTATACTGATAAAGAAGGCTGGTTTTTTTCTGGGGACGACTGTGGAAYATCTGGAGACGATGGTRCAAAGAAGGATTTTACATTAAATCAAGRACATTTTGGACAACCCTGATCATCCTGTTCATCAGACTGTCAGAGAAAAATCGTCTTTTCATTCGGAGGCAGTGGTGTACAAAGTACTCAGCTCTAGTACTTGAGTAAAAATATCGATACTCATGGTCAAAACTACTCAACCACAAGTAAAATTTACTCCGTCAAAAATCTACTCAAGTTAAAGTACTGAAGTACTTTAAGTGAGTTTTTTTACAACCTTGTCACTCTTAGAAATTACCTGATAGAACCACTCTGATACAAATTCACCMCCTGTAAAGACTTAAGTATAAAAATACAATAAAATGATAGTTGAGCTTAAATGCTGAAACGTAGTTTATCCACAGTGAACACATAAGACGTTTGAACTGATAGGAACTACAGGGTTTTGACAATGAAACTGAAACACCTGTCATTTTAGTGTGGGAGGTTTCATGGCTAAATTGCACCAGTAAGAGCAGAGTGTGAAGGTTCAATTAGAAGGGTAAGAGCACAGTTTGGCTCAAAATATTGCAATGCACACAACATTATGGGTGACATACCAGAGTTCAGAAGAGGACAAATTGTTGGTGCACGTCTTTGGTGCATCTGTAACCAAGACAGCAAGTCTTTGTGATGTATCAAGAGCCACAGTATCCAGGGTAATGTCAGCATACCACCAAGAAAGACCAACCACATCGAACAGGATTAACTGTGGTTGCAAAAGGAAGCTGTCTKAAAGGGATGTTATGGTGCTAACCCGGATTGTATCCAAAAATCTTAAAACCACATCTGCCCAAATCACGGCAGAATTAAATGTGCACCTCAACTCCTGTTTCCACCAGAACTGTCCGTCTGGTGCTCCACAGGATCAATATACACGGCCGGGCTGCTATAGCCAAACCTTTGGTCACTCGTGCCAATGCCAAACATTGGTTTTAATGGTGCAAGGAGCGCAAATCTTGGGCTGTGGACACTGTGAAATGTATTGTTCTCTGATGAGTCCACCTTTACTGTTTTTCCCACATCTGGGAGAGTTACGGTGTGGAGAAGCCCCAAAGAAGCGTACCACCCAGACTGATGCATGCCCAGAGTGAAGCATGGGGGTGGATCAGTGATGGTTTGGGCTGCCATATCATGGCATTCCCTTGATCCAATACTTGTTCTAGATGGGCGCGTCACTGCCAAGAACTACCGAACCATTCTGGAGGACCATGTGCATCCAGTGGTTCAAACATTGTATCCTGAAGKCAGTGCTSTGTATCAGGATGACAATGCACCAATACACACAGCAAGACTGGTGAAAGATTGCTTTGATGAACATGAAAGTGAAGTTGAACATCTCCCATGGCCTGCACAGTCACCACATATAAATATTATTGAGCCACTTTGGGGTGTTTTGGAGGATCGAGTCAGGAAACGTTTTCCTCCACCAGCATCACGTAGGGACCTGGCCACTATCCTGCAAGAAGAATGGCTTCAAATCCCTCTGACCACTGTGCAGGACTTGTATGTCATTCCCAAGACCAATTGATGCTGCACTGGCTGCAAAAGGAGGCCCTACACCATACTAATAAATGTTTGTGGTCTAATACCGGGTATTTCAGTTTCATTGACCAACCCGTGTTTTTCAGTCCTAAAATCTCAAACATCGAGCTGAGATATGGTCATGAGTGCACTGGTTTCTCTACTCTCTTCAATCATCTGGATTCTGTTTTAAAATGAAGGTGGGAGTAGGCCTGTCAGGATACCAAATTTTACTAGACGATAAATCGTCAGAAATGATTGCGATAAACAATAATATTGTTGGAGWCCAGTTTAAACTAATATGATACAACGACCCCTGTTTACRGAATTTTACATTTAAAATTTACAGTGTAAAAACAACTGTCGACAAACTGTGGCCAATCGCATTTCAAGAAAGGAAAACGGCAACAGCTGATTAAAAACTATGCTGAACCAAAAGTAACAAGTAACTAACAAGCTTCCTAGAAATGTAGTGGAGTGAAAATCACAAGTACCCAAAAAATAATTACTCAAGTAAAGATACACAAAAATGTACTTAAGTACAGTACTCAAGTAAATGTACTCCATTACTGTCCACCACTGGTCAGAGGCTTCTTCACTTTGGTTGTGATACCGATGCTACAGAAGATCTTTGCTGTCCACAGCCATCAGCATCTACAGTAACTCTTTAGTTCAACGAGTTACAAACGGCACAGATCTGGACTTATTGTTAGAGTGGAACAAAGCAGCGCCGTCTTCTCATCAAAGGATCCAAAACTCCCCAAAAACACCAAAACCGTTAGATCAAAAGTGTTTTATTCACGGTGAACAGTCCTGTCGCACACACACCCCAAATTTCTTTTTACAAACAGCATCAATCCAACATTAACACACGTGAGGAGGCAAAAAATAAAAAAACAAATTAATCATCAGAGCACAAAGTGATTCTGCAGCACAGAAATATAAAGAGATCAAGTTCTGTTGTGTCTGTCAGACAGATCAGAGTTTTTATCAGGAGCACATCTTCCTAAGGCAACGTTAAAACAGATCAGAGGCCGTTTGCTCCGATCCGAATGTCCCGGTGTTCTGATTCGACATGTCTGAAGGCATCAGTGGCTGTTGGCTGGAAGTAAATCCTGTTCTCCTCAGCACTCCTCTTTGATGTAGATTTGTTCGTCTGTGTCCGACTCCAAGTGTTCCAGCCGCTCCGTCTGCCCGTTCATGATCTCGTCGGGGGTTTTCATGAACCTACGAAGAAAAAAACAAGATAAAATAAAACATTTAGCTGTGTGTGCAGATCCAGAAACCAGCGCTGGTTCAGAGATACAAACCTGAACAGGAGTCTTTGTCCCGGCTCCTTCCTGATGATGTTCAGTTTGTAGTAGTGTCTCAGTGCTCGCGACATCTTCTCGTACGTCATGTTGGTTCTGTTCTGTTGGACCACACAGAACAAAACGTTTKGGTTTTCTCAGGCAAACTTAACGTGGAGGTAAATAAAAGCTACAATAATGGAGTYATTACATCATAGAGGTGCATACATAATAACTCGAGTGAGACTTGTCTACGTGACAGTAGAAGCTACAGCACTAAGCTGGCAGGACTCTGGATTTACATTCCTGTACATGTTGGCATGTAGAAATCATATAARCTATTAATAATATTAACAAAAAGTTATATTTATGTTTTAGAGCATATAAACTATTTAATGCATATAAAACTGTCAGAAAGCTGTTTATGTTATGGATGTACCAATAAGATAAACAGTAATCAGATTTAATCTTATTTACCTCAATGTGTTAGTAATCTGACCAGAACTGAAGCCAATAATAATCTAAAGCTTTTAAAGACGATTTAATTATTTTTAATTACTGAACTGGTTAGCATATATTAGCTTCTGTAGCATATATTAGCTTCTGTAGTGTATATTAGCTTCTGTAGCATATATTAGCTTCGGTAC